TCTTGCTTTAACAATGATTCTTTGTCACAAGCACCATTAAGCTCTTTCTCCTTGGCCTACATAGAAGTTCCTAGCTTTCATATCTTAAAAAAACAAAACAAAACCAAAAACCTTGACCCTGCAACCCATCCCCAATGTAACATCTTAACTCTCTCTCCCCCACATTTCACTGTCACAAAAAAGCAAAAGTTCACAGTTTGTCTCAACTTCCTCACTGCCCATTTATTCCTTAACTCCTTGAGAGCTGAATTCTGCCCCCTCTATCCTACAGAAAGTGCTCTTTCCAAGGTCACTAATAACATCTGTACACTAAATCCAATGAGTTTATTTTCCTCTCCTTCCTGTTGACCTTTTTTGCAACATTTGACACACTGAGCAGCCCTTCCCACTTCATCCTCTCTCTTCCCTTGGCTTCGAAGACACTTTCCTGGTCCTTTCCCTTCTTCTTTTACCACTCCTTAAGCTGCTCTGCTACCTCACTTTCTTCCTATCCCTTTAATATGGGTTTTCTCTCCCTCAAAGTTCTGTACTGATGCCTCTTCTCTTTCCTTATTATACTCTCTTTCCTGATATCATGTCTTCAATGACCACATATATGAAGAAATTTTGTGCTTTAATTTTTTAGTACTATTGTTAAGGATTCAATTACCTGTGAATGGAAACCATTTGATAGACTCATTTATATACTTAGCTAGGGATTTTCCTGGATGGTCCATGTGCTTCACGGTTTCCATTCAATATATCTTCCTATTTGGAAAAACTGTATATTTACTTTACCACCATCCTTCTATTGCCTCAGGTTCTTAATGTAGGCATTTTCCTGGTCTCTCCCTCACTTCATGTATCTATGATGTAGCCAGATGAATACTACTGCTAAAGTAATTTTCCTTCAACACCTAACTGATCATGCAGCTCCCCTATACAACCAAACCCAAGGCTTCCTGTTGCCTAGAAGACAAAGGTTCTTAACCTGGGCACTCTATTAGCCAGTGACTAGAAGACCTCTGGCCTTCGAGGAATGTGGAATATTGCACATTATGTAGATGACAAATGTGGACCACTCTGGTGAAAAGGCTATTCCTTCACTTGTAAGTTCCATGAAGGCAGTGATTATTTTATTTTTGTCTTTATATTCCTACCTAATAATCTGTTGAAATATTTGTTGATATGAGGACAACTTACATCTACTTCTCTCCAAGAGATCCTGCCCCATCTGTTCAACTGATTTGGTGTCTATACCTGGATATCCCCATTGGTCCTTCAAACAACACATATAAAACTATTGGCCTTCCCCTTTATTTCTACTAAAGGCATCATTATGTCCTCATCAATAAACCTGAAACTTCACAATCATTTTGGAGCCTTCACTCTCTTCTGTATCCAGCTGCCAAGTTCTATTGCTCCTAACTTGGTGGTATCTCTCTGTCCACTTCAGCTGTACAGACCCTCATGTATGCCATCTCTCCAATCCATCTTTCACAACACCATCTGCATAATCTATCTAATGTATTGCTTTGATCAAGTCACTTCATTAAACAAAAATTTTCAGTACTGCCCACTAGCCTGCTGAACAAACTCCAGGTTCTGGGAATCAACACCTACTACAACTTAGCTCCAACATATTTTTCCAGCCTTATCTCATACTACTCCCCCCTTTATATACTTCACTTTTCCAGTCAAAACTGACTGTTTTCTATACGCCATTCTCCCTTTATTGTGACCCACCTTTGTACATTTGTTTATGTTAGTCCTCCACAATTTTTTCTTCCCCAACTCCATCTGTTAATATCTCTCTTTCCCTTCAAGGCTCAACTTAGACATCACTTTTTTCATGAAAACTTTTCTGACACCCTCAGCCAAAAATGATCTTTCTCTTCTTCAAATTTCTTATAGCACTTTACTTACACCTCTTCTTCACAGTAATACCATTTCCCCTTAAAACACGGTCGTTTAGATCCAACCATTCTGGAGAGCAATTTGGAACTATGCCCAAAGGGCTATAAAAATGTGCATCTCCTTTGACCCAGCAATACCACTTCTAGGGCTGTATCACAAAGAGATCATAAAAGTGGGAAAAGGACCCACATGTACAAAAATATTTATAGCAGCTGTTTTTGGGGTGGCAAGGAATTGGAAATTGAGAGGATGCCCATCAATTGGGGAATGGCTGAACAAGGTGTGGTATATGAATATAATGGAATACTACTGTGCTACAAGAAATGATGAGCAAACAGACTTCAGAAAAACCTGGAAAGACTTGTATGGACTGATGCTGAGTAAAGTGAGCAGAACCAGAAAAATATTGTGAACAGTAACAGCCATGTTGTGTGATGACTAATGTTGACAGCTCTTCTCAGCAATGCAAGGATCTAAGACATCTCCAAAAGTCTCATGATGGAAAATGATATCCACATCCAAAGAAAGAACTACGGAGTTTGAATGCAGACCAAAGCACACTATTTGCTCTTTTCTTTTCTTCTGGTTTGTTTTGTTTCCTCATTCTTGTAGTTCCTCCTATTGGTTGTAATTCTTCCTTACCACATGACTAATATGAAAATGTGCTTAATAGGAATGTGTATGTAGAGCCTACATCAGATCTATGGCGTATTGGAGAAGGAGGCGCAGAGGGAGGGGGAGAAAAACTTAAAACTCAAAAGCTTATGGAAGTGATTGTTGAAAACGAAAAATAAATTAATAAAAAAAAGAATGTATACAGTTAAAAAAAAGCATAGCCATTTAATTTCTTTACTATCATTACCATTTCTTTATCATTCTAAGTTCCACGAGAATGAGGTCAGCTTTCCTATCTCAGGATGTCCAACACCTAACAACTCTTGGCCATCATTCCTTCTAGCACTAAATCTATAATCCCATAAATAAATAAAACAGAAACTCCTGGTGGGCAATGACCTATTTGAATATTACACTGGAACTCAAGTACTGAAAAATTTCTATTGTGTTTATTAACTCAGATGTTTTGCCATCTTATATTTGTTCAGCAATGTAGCTTCTGAAACCCGGGACCACTGAATTCCCCTAAACAGGGACTAAGGCATCTATTTAATGGCATTCCACATGGCAAACCCACATGTTTCCAGGGCAAGGAAGAATAGCAATATACAAATTCCAGACACGGACTTGGTATCTGAGGAATCTGCGTACCCTGTTGGATGGAGGTGGATAAATGAACCTCAAACAAGAATGTGGATCCCCATTCTTTTTTTATTTAAATATTATTTTATTTTTCCCAATTACATATCAAGAAAAATTTTAGCATTCATTTTACAAGATTTTGAGTTCCAAAATTTCCTCCCTCTCTCCATCTACTCCCCTCTTCTGAAAATGGTAGGCAGTTTGATATAATTTATACGTACGCTATCATGTAAAACATATTTCCATATTCATCATGGTTGTGGAAAAAGAAACAGCGGATCCCCATTCTTGTCTTGCACGGTACAGCAGAACAAGGTCTGGAACTCAAATGTCTCCTCTGGATACTTGTTAATTGTGTGACTGAGAGCCAATATGGAAATGGAAGAATGATGGCTTTGGAGTCAGAGGATGTGGGTTAAAACATGTCTTTGTCACCACCTGCATGATCCTAGAAAGTCATGTAAACTCTCTAGCCCTCAATTTCCACATTTGTAAAATGAGGAAGACGAGAAGTTGGACTATATACCTTCTATGGCCCGTTTCAGTCCTAAATTCGTGATCCTATGATTATGGGCAAATCACCTAAAGTAAGACTATTTTCACAGATGTAAAATGGGGATAATTATCTGTACCACTGACTTCTCAAGGTCAACCAAAACCTCACTACAACCCCGTTTGCTATGATAGAGAATTTCTTCTACCCCATGGACCTCATCCCAGGGTGTTTGATTCCAGAAGCAAAGGCCCTGGTTATAAACAATCACTTACAGAACATTAAGGAAAGGATCACAGATTCTTTTCTGTTCAACCTCCCAATTTTTACAGGAGAACTTTATAATGCTAACTCAGTACTATGGTGGTATCAAGAAATTCTTATGTATTTAAAAGGGGTATTATTAACAATAACAAACTTATAATAATAATAGTAACATTTGTATAGCGATTACTATGTGCCAGGTGCTTTACAAATATCTCATTTGATTCTCACCACAATCCTGGGAGAAAGGTGCCATTATTATCCCCATTTTGCAGATGAGAAAAAACTGAGGAAAACAGGCTGACTTGCCCAGGATCACACAGCTAGTAAGTGTCTGAGGTCAAATCTTAATTCATGTGTTCCTGATTATAGGCCAGGAGGTCTATTCACTGTGCCACCTACCTGTGTTTAATAAACATTTATTAAGCGCCTACTATGTGCCAGGCATGCTATGTTGAGTGCTGGGGATACAAAAAAAGGCCAAATTTAGTCTTTGCTCTCAAGGAGCTCACGTAGTCTACGTGGTTCACAGAATCTGAAGGATTCTAAATGTTCACAGAGACCATTTATGAGAGTGGCTAAAGCAAACTTCTCTCTGTCCTGTCCCTCACAGTGCTCCTGCAGGTTGTAGGTTCTGGCGTCACTAGCTGTATGAAGATACCCTCTTTCCTTCTCTCCCTCCCTCTCTTTATCCATCCTTTCTTCCTTCCCCCTCCCTCTCCCTCCCTGCACAATGAAGCAGATTTCCAAGTCGCACCTGGAGGCTCCGTACGGACCATGGGCGGGTGACAGACAGACAAACATCCTCCTTAGCCGGGCCAAATGAAGCCGACCTCCCAGCACAGACACATAAATGCCAAGGGGAGCATGCTTTCTTTCGGGGCCTCCCTCTCCTACGGCTCACAAACCCCTCAGGACTAGGCTGCTCCCACCTCAGGTGTCCCCTCCGGCAGGCCGGGGAGGGTTGAGGTAGTGGAGCTGCTGTCAGTAGCTGGGGCCTAACTTTGCACAGGAAGAAGGTCCCCTGGCCTCTCCCCTTGGGGCTGCCCGCCCCGCTCCCCGGCTGGGCCCGCGCAGGGGCACGTCTCACCGGAGCAGGCGCCGCCTCGGCCATGGCCCTCGGTCTCGCTCCTAGGCCCCGGGAGGCTGCTGCGCGGACGGGAAGGCTCCGGCGCGTCCGGCTCTTCTCCTCCCCTCCTCCTTCCTCCTCTCGCTCCGCTCCCGGCACCCGCGGGGGGCTCCCTGTGGCAGGCTCGGCCCCGGCTCCGGGACCCGCGTTAGGGCAGTCAGCCGAGGGAGGGCGCGGGGACAGGGACCCGAGGGCTGCTGTGAGCCCCGGAGGGCCGGCCCGAGCTGCGCTGCCTCCGCCTCCGCAGCCGCCGCGGCCCGGCCCCAAATCTAGCCTAGCTCCTGCTCCCGCGGGCCCGGCTCCTCCACAGCTGCCCAGCTGTTGCTTTGTGGACCCCGAGTGCACTCTGGGAACTGGCTCCTTCCAAGACGCTCCTCGGGCCTCCCGGCAGGCCCGGGCCCCACAGCGCCCTCTACCGGCGGTAAGAGAGAACAGCAACCGCGCCTCCTCCCTGCTCCGCGGGGAGCCTCCGAGGAGAGGCTGCGCTGGAGGTCCCGTCGTGTGCCGAGAGCCTTTACCCCCAGGCGCGTTTAAAACCCGGAACCGCCAGCCGGAGCCAGAAGGACCCAGGGGCAGCCCACCCAGGAGGTGGGCGCTCATCCCTCGCCAAAGTGAGAAGGGAAGATGAGGGGCTGGGAAGCAATGAGAGGGAGCCCAGGGAAGGAAAGGACCGACGGGCGAAGAAATCTTCCCAGCTGGGGATTCAAAGGGTTCGGGAAAGAGAAGGCCTGGAGAGTAACGAGGGGGCGGGGAGTTGGCCTGCTGCTCATAGTCCTGCGATTCTAATCCAGTCAGGTAGTCAGTCAACTAGCATTTCGTGTGTGGATACATATGCGTATTTATTGTATGCATTATATATATACGTGTGTGTATATACATATATATTATATATATATAAAACGCACACATTGTGTATTTCACACATACATTATAAATAGCATATCTATACACATACAATAAATGCTAGCATGTATATGTGTATATACATAAGTTTTACAGTATACATATATACAATTAATGCTCCTGTGATTGCATGTATATGTATGGTATGTATATACACATATACAGTAAGAGTTGTGTATACATACACACAAATGCGTATATGTATACATTTATGTATATACATATATACACAAATGCTAACATGTATATGTATACATATATACATAAATATATGCTAATATATTTATATATACGTATGTGTATGTTTGTTTAGTTATTCATTCATTTATTGTATCCCAGCATACAAAGAAAAGCAAAAATCAGTCTCTGCACTCAAGGAGCCCATAGGCTAATAAGATAGACAACATGTAAAAAACTGTGTACAAACAAGAATTAATAGGGAGTAGTAGAAGACACTACAATTAAGAAAGACTGGGCCATATTTTATTTTTATTTATTTTTCTACTGAGGCTCTATTTTAATGTTTGCAGAAACCTGGGTCACTTCCCTGAAATGCACTACTTCTTAAATCTCAGAATATGTGTTCCAGTAGGCCTGGCTTAGATTCCTAAGGAATCCTAGAAAGGAGGTAAGAAGTAATGTCTGAGGGCTTAGGGGCAGGAGAGATGGAGCTAAGTGTCCCAGAGGACAAACTGATCGTCAAAATAGCTGGTGAGTTAAGGTACTGGAATCAGGGCAAAAGGTGTTTTGTGCAACAGAGATTGAATTGTAGATTATAGATCTATTATTTAGGATGTCATTTATTGAGCATTTAATACATAAGAGGTAAAAGACAAGGCTACCTCCCCTCAAGGAGTTTCCAATCTAGCTGAAAAAAAAAATCTTAATAACAATGCAAGTTAATCAACTGTTCAAGAGAAGACCTAATTGCCAAAGGAATGGTACCAGTGTAAAGAAATTCCAAGAATAGTTCTAGGTGGTCAGGGAAGCAGTCAGGCTAAATCTTAAAAAAGGGACGAGGATTTAAATAAGCAAAGGAGGACGACGTCATTCCAGGGATTAGGTATAAGCAAAAAGCAAAAAGGTATGAGAAGGTAGATTTGCAAGGGTTGGAGAGAACGGCACAATATTTCAGTTTAAAACAGTTTCTGTAACTTTAGTCACTGAGAAGGAAGGCCGGAAATGAGGGTCTTGAATATAGTAAGTTTGGTCTGATCACATAAGCAGTGGAAATCACTGAAAGTTAAACCTTAACGGGATCAAAGTACTACCTTAATAGAAGTCTGACTAATGCATTGTTGGTGGAGTTGTGAAATGATCCAACCATTTTGGAGAGCAATTTGGAACTATGCCCAAAGGGCTATGAAAATGTGCATAGCCTTTGGTCCAGCAATAGCACTTCTAGGGCTATATCCCAAAGAGATCAAACAAATGGGAAAAGGACCCATGTGTACAGAAATATTTATAGCAGCTGTTTTTGTGGTGGCAAAGAATTGGAAATTGAGAGGATGACCATCAATTAGGAATGGCTGAACAAGTTGTGGTATATGAATATAATGGAATACTATTGTGCTATAAGAAGTGATAAGGAAGTGGACTTCAGAAAAACCTGGAAAGACTTGTATGCTCTGGTGCTGAGTGAAATGAGCAGAAACAGGAGAATGTTGTACACAGTAACAGCCACATTGTGAGATGACTAACTTTGATAGACTTAGCCCTTCTCAGCCATGCAAGGATCTAAGACATCTCCAAAGGCCTCATGATGGAAAATGCTATCCACACCCAGAGAATTATGGAGTTTGAATGCTGATCGAAGTGTTGGGGTGCTTGGGTGCTTATACTTGGACCCCAATTTCTCTCTAGACTCAGAAACACTGTCTCTGACAGTTTCTCCCCAGCCCAGGGGCACTGTGCCTAGCAATTACTCATGAGTGGGCCCCAGCAAGACCCTTATCTCTCTCCCTGGTGCAGTTCCAAACAGCACCTGAAGGATTTATTAGTTTGAACTGGCTTTGCACTGGGTCATAAAGACATTTTTACTCACTGGACTATCTCCTACCGCCCTACCTCATTATCTACATCCTGGGCTCCTCATTAACTGTATTCTAGACTCAAGACATATGTATACTCCCTACATCTATCTTGTCAAACAAGACATTGATTGGTGGCAGACTGGACAACTCTGTTACCCCTGAACTCTAGTTGGTGATGTAGCAGGCCTAAAACCACACCTCCACGTGGCCCCCCCTTGTGGGCTTTTCCCAGTGAACTCTGGGTAAAATGCCTGCACAGTAGATATAAGTGCATGTTTCTTTAAGAACTGACCACTCCCACTCCCTAATCCCGCCCTGAATCACCTAGTTAGCATATTTGACACATCTTATCATATTTTATACCATATAAACTTTAGCTATACTCTTTTAAAGACTGCAGGTTCCTTAAGAATCCTTGCCCGCTGAAAAGTGTAACAATAAACTTTTTGCAACTTAGGATTGCTTGAGTTTGTGAATTCATTCCAGATGACCCATTTTGTACTTTGTACTTTTTTTTTGAGGGGTCCCCACTTCTCAACCCTCATCAGAAGCATACTATTTGCCATTTTTTTTTTCTGTTGTGTTTTGTTTTTTTTCTGATGGTTTCACCTATTGGGTCTAATTCTTATTTACAACATCACTAATGTGAAAATATATTTAACAGGAATGTGTATGTATAGCCTATATCAGATTGCTCGTAGTCTTGGGGAGGGAGGTGGGGAGAAAAATTTAAAACTCAAAAGCTTATGGAAGTGATTGTTGATCATTCAAAATAAATTAATAAGAAATAATATAAGTCTGATATCAGTGGACAGGATAGATTGGTGATGAAAAGACTGGAGGCAGGGGGCTTTTTATTATGTAATTACAGAATTTTAAGGGTGACATTAAATAAGGGCTCAAAGTAAGGTGATGGCAGGGGAAATAAGGAACATTTTGAAAGGTCTCTGATTAAAATCTGGATGCTCCTTTAACAAACAGGACTTGGCTGATAAAGGCCTCATTTCTCAAATATATAGAGAACTGAGTCAAATTTATAAGAATATAAGTCATTCCCTAGTTGATAAATGGTCAAAGAATACGAACAGGCAGTTTTCAAAGAAGTCAAAGCTATCTAAAGTCATATAAAAATGTTCTAAGTCACTATTGATTAGAGAAATGCAAATTAAGACACCTGTGAGGTACCATTTTAATGACAACAAAGGAAAATGATAAATGTTGGGAGGGGATGTGGGAAAACTGGGACACTAGATGGAGTTGTGAACTGATCCAACCATTCTGGAGAGCAATTTGGAACTGTGCATAAAGGGCTATAAAACTGTGCCTACCTTTTGATCCAACAACACCAAGTCCATGTCTGTGTCCCAGAGATTAAAAAAAAAAAAGCAGGGGGAAGGAACTATATGTACAAAAATATTTATACCACTCTTTTTGTGGTGGCTAAGAATTGCAAATCAAGAGGATGCCTATCAGTTGGGGAATGGCAGAACAATCCATGGTATATGATTGTGTTGGAATATTATTTTTGTTCTGTAAGAAATGACAAGCCTGATGTTTTTTTAAAAATCTGGAAAAACATATATGAACTGATGCAAAATGAAATGAGGTGAACCAGCAGAACATTGTACATAGTAATAGCAACGTTGTACTATGAAGAACTGTGGATTACTTGGCTATTCTCAGCAGTACAACGATCCAAGACAATCCCAAGGGACTCATGATGAAACATGCTATCCAGCTCCAGAGAAAGAACTGATGTTGTCTGAATACTGACTGAAGAGTACTCTTTCTTTGAATCGCTCAGGGAAGGGGAAGGAAGGGAGAGAATTTAAAACTCAAAATTAAAAAAAATGTAAAAAATAGTTTTAACATGTAATTAGGTGAAAAAATAAAAATATTATTAAAAAATGACAACAAACAGGACCTGGTCCATGTCCTGGTGGAACTTTAAATTACCCTGGAAAGGCAATGACTACATACATGAAATAAATGACAGTGTATGATTCTGTGCCAAATGAGTGATCCACACTGAAGGAGTTAAAAGAAGGAAAACAGTATGAGTCAGGTTAGTCAGGGAAAGCTTCCTGGAAGAAAGACTTCAGTTAAGGCATGAAAGATGGATAACACTGGGCTAAATGGGAAGTAGAAATTCAAATCTGGCCTCAGACATTTAACTAGCTGTGTCACCCTGGGAAAGTCACTTAATCCTGTTTGCCTCAGTTTCCTCATCCATAAAAGATATGGAGATTGAAATGGCAAACCATGCCAGTATCTTTGCCAAGAAAACCCCAAATCGGGTCATAAAGAGTTAGACACTACTAAAAACAACTGAACAACAAAAGAATTCAAGGCAGAAGGAAAAGGAAGATAAAAATTAGAAACAAGTTTGGCAGTCAAACCAAAAAAAAAGCTAACCTGGGAGTGGTTTTCATATTCATTATGTGGACAGAGGACAAATAGAAACTTCAAAACATAATAATAAAAACATTTCTGTGGTCCCTTCTGTGTTTGCCAGGCACTATGCTAAGCACTTTACAAATATTAATGCATTGGATCCTCACAACTCTGGAAGGTAGGTGCTAGTATTATCCTCATTTTATAGATGAGGAAACTGAGGTAAGGTAAACAGGTTAGGTGACTTGCCCAGGGTGACACAGTATCTGAGTATCTGAGGCTGGACTGAAATTACGCTTTTCTAACTCCAGGCCAGGGCTCTATATAGTGTGCCACCTAGTGCAAAGATATAAGAAAAATCCCCAAATAAGGATAATGCTTTACATTTTGTGCAATGTTTTATACTTCAAAGCACATCCATGTGAGCCTGCGCTGAGAGTGGATTAGAACAGGCATTTCAACATGGTTACAATGGACTTAACAACTTGCGTCTGCTCAGAGAGAGTTGTTAGCTGCAGTTCTAATTTAGGATTGAGCTCCTTCAATACCATGTACCCCATTAAGGGTTTTTTCTGTCCCTTGCTGGAGGAAGCTGAAGACTCTTGGTGCTCTTACTCATATTTGCCAGTAGCATTAGGGCTTTCTAGTCTTCAAAAATCATTTCCATCGTGTACAAACACCATACAACGATTAAGGGATGCAGGAATCCCTAGCAGTTATTAACTGAGTTACAAAACTCCACTAGAGTACCCCAAGGAGGATGTTGAACCTTTTCCAATTATGAAAACAGACTTTTTGGATTCACAGATACTTTGCTTATTGCTATAATTAACACAATAAAACTGAACAAGCTTGCTGATCACACCAGCACCTGAAACAGGACTTGGGTTTTAGCACAGAAATTGGGACCACATTCTGTAGCAGCAAGAGGGCAATCACATGACTGCTTCCCATTCATTGAGCTCTAGGACTTCACTGTGCGATTTAGTTTATTTTTTTTAAAAACCTGGCACATAGTGCTCTGTATTTGATCCCTGTAGAGGAACTCCACTTTGTCACATGTCTGATGGCCTGAGAACACAAAAAATGGTCACTCTGTACCAGCAGAGACAGGTAACAAGGGAACCCAGCAATCACTGTTTTCCTAAGTGTACACAGTTCTCTAAAATTTTGTCTAGAGGTTTTTTTAAACCTAAACATAATACAATTATTCCCAATCAATCAATGAACAAGTATTTGCATATTTACCATTGCTCATATTTATATAACCTTTAAGATGTTAAAAAGTGCTTTCCTCACAACAACCCTGTGAGAAGGCAGGTGGTATAAATATTAATATTGTCATTATCATTATCCTCAGCCAATTTCTCTTACAGGAATAAATGACATTAGACGAAGTCCTTTGAACTGAACGTTCAGAGAAAAGCAAGGACAACCTCCCAGTATGTTCTCCAGGTTTTCTCCAGGTGACTGAATGTAGCTCTGCTTCATGCCCTGTGCTCCTCCTCTGCTGATGGGACTCTCCAGCAATGGCAATGCAATTGTTGCTGGATTATCATGAAACACAAGGAGAAACTTGTCACATTTGGAGCACTGGAAATGCAAAAAGCCTCTCCATGTTACTAACAAAATGAGAAGACAACACTGTGACCACTGCTATTGTGAGAATCCATTTCCTTTAAAGTTTTCTTATCAGAAATGGAACTTTCACCACTAAAACCAAAAGTAAACATAGAATCAAGATTGTTTAATCTGGACAGTCATATAAAAGTAAACATTCTTAACCTTTTTGTGTCATGGATACATTTGGCAGTCTGGTAAAGCTATGAACTCCTCAGAAAAATGTTTATAAGTAAAAATAAAATACATAGGATTACAAAGGAGACCATTTATACTAAAATAAAGATGTAATTTTTTTTTCCCACTTAAGTTCACAAACTTCATGTTAAGAACATGTATTAGATACAAGAACAGGCCTAATGACAACAGGGTCAGAGTGAGACACGGTCCCTAAGTGTCCAGTAATACCAAGTCCATATCTTACAAAGCCCACAGATATGGAGTAGGGAGGTGGAAGGGAGGGAATTAGCAGTGATAGTACCTGAAATGAATTATTCAAGGAACAATAACTATATCCCTTTTACATTTTCTCCAATCTAAGTGAAAAGCACAGACACCAAGTAGGGAGGCTTGAGAAATGTGATTCTACTACCATTAAACTCAGGAAAAAAAAAGCGAGGGCTCTATGATGAGTTTTTACTATCATTATTATTATTAATTTATTTTGATTTATCAACAATCACTTCCATAAATTTTTCTCCCTCTCCTTCCCCAAAACAGTGTGCAATCTGATATAGGTCTAGCAAGAGTTTTTTAATGAACAGAGAGGATACCTAAGGAACTTTGGTTTCTTTTCTTTCTCTCTCTTTTTTTTTAACACTCGGTCTCCCTATCTCACCTAGGCTGGAAGTACAGCAGCCACGCATGGGCCTGACCCCACTGTTGATCTACCTGGAAGCACTGATTTGCTTTATTTCCATTATGGGCCAGTGTCCCCCTGTCTGGGGCTCACCATTTTGGTGCCAGACTTAGTATGGACAACTGATCTGTTTTAGCCCTACTGTAGCTCAAAACTCCTGAACATAGGTGGATCCATCCACCTGCCTCAGCCTCCCCAGTAGCCAGGACTGCATACTGCATCACACGCAGCCTTTGTTTCATTTCAAAGGAAATTTGTGTCCTTATTTGTTGCTCATTTCCCACCAGGCCGCACTCTCCTGGACTTCATCAGTGCTCTCCAGAATCTCATCATCCTGCAAGATTATTGCAACCCTGGAACTCCTCAGTATTTCTTGCCCCAGGGGCTGCTCTCTTCCTCTGATTTCAGAGGTTAGAGGGTGGACAGTGGTAATCGCCTCCATTTAAGGGGATCATCTATTTCCTACCAGGCGGCACTCTCCTGGACTTCATCATACCAGCAATGCCAGATACCCTCCCTACTTCCCCCCTTTCAGTTTCTTTTTATGTTGTCTCTTTTCATTAGATTATGAGCGCCTTGAAAGCAGAGAATATAAAAAATAAAGTTTTGTTAAGTGCCTCTGTGCCACGCACTGTGCTAAAAATATGAAACCCTTAAGGAGCTTACACAATCTAATGGGGAAGCTGAAAAATAGAGGGAGGGGGAGAGAGAAAGTACCCAATGCAAGGGTATAGTGAAGTTAGTCAGAGAAGTTCCAAAACAGCCAAGTGAAAAATGAAATGCCTGAGATGAACTCTCTCCTAAAATGGAGGTTTGGAGTTCATGGCCCCACCCCCCCAATCAGAGAGGCAGAGGGTAGTCAGGAGGTGAAGTCCCAAGGCTGATGAAATTGTAGAGGATGATGAAGTTATCCTAATAATGAGCTTCCTGGGGTATGGTGGAGAAGTCCCAAAGTAGACTGCCTTCTGCCTTTCTTTGTATCCCCAGTGCTTAGTAGAGTGCCTAGCAAATAGCAAGTACTTAATAAATGTTTACTAAGTGGCCACCAATGTTACTTTCATACAACAACAACATGAGACTAAGGGAAAGTGGAGGACTATCAAAAGACTATCAATGTGCTAACAGAGGACTTGATGGCCACCTTCCTGTTTTCTTTGATTTAATATTATTCATTCCTACAAGTCTTACCTGAGGGGATAGGGATCTGCCTCCTGCTTATCTAGAAGAAAACAACAGTTGTCAAGAATGACAAGTTACATTAGGACTCCAACTTGTCAACTATGATACTTACAATCTTAAACTTAGTTTAGGATATGTTATCCCTCCATCCCACACCAATGAGATTTTGTTTGAGCAATGAGCTAACTTTAAAATCACCCTAAACCACTGACTCCTTATGACCTATACAGGTCTTGGCTTAATAAACCACTAGAAACGAAATTTGCTTATCAACATACTCAGTTCAAGAAACCCAGGGTATGTCATAGATTTAGAGCTGCAAGGGACCTCAGAGGTCATTCTTTTACTGATACTGAAAATAGGAACTAAAGTGGTTAAGTCATTTGCACACAGGTGCACATAGTAAGTGGCAAAATCAAGATATGAACTCAGATCCTCTGATGCTAACTAAATTCAGCTCTCTTTTCACAACAAGAGATCCAAGTTTTTCAACAGCAGGATATGTGATCAGAAATTTATGAATTGCATTATTTCAGTTATTCAATTACAACTCAGCTTCAATACTTGCTAGCATGATACCTGTTCTTGTGGTCATAGAACTGGGGTTACAAGGAACTTCAGATGTCATCCAATCTAGGTTAAACTGTCATTTTACAGTTGAGGAACATTGCCCAAAGGTTAAATGATTTGTTCAAGATAACAATGGCTGAAAGTGGAAGACTTGGTGTGCTGACCTAGGTCCTCTAATTCCAAGTCCAGAACTCTTTCCATTGTGCAATGTAGTAGCTGTGACAAGTGGCTGGTTAGTCCTACTTCCCCACCTGTTAATTAGGTAAGATACTGTTTTTGGCTAAAATCTCAAGCAGGCTGCACTACATATTTAACCCATAAGCTATTGGGTCTCTAGGCTTAAACATAGCTCCTCTCTGCTAGTGGTTTTTTAATTTGCTAATCCAAAATTTTAAGTTCACCAAATCTGACAAGAAAAATAAAGAACTCATCCTGGTGCATTCAAATAAAAATGTTATCAAGTATGACATGGAAGACAGCTTTCTTTGAGGACATGGGCCTTCGTTCCTTTAACAGCTCTTTCTTGCAATCATTCTTGCATGATGTAGAGTAGATCAACAGCATACTGATATCATACCTACTTATAGAAACCCCTATTTACAGATAGGAAAAATGAGGACCCACAAAGAAAAAGGCCAATTATACCCAGTGAGTTAATGACTTGAAAATAGAAGTGTTTTAGATCTCTGTTCTCTTTGCCAGCTAGTGCAATGTTCTTCAAATATAAGGCTCAGCTCATAATAATAGCAGCTAATATTTATGTAGCATCTTCAAAGACTACAGAAACAGTACCATTCTTCTCATTTTGCAGATGTAGAAACTGAGCTAGCAAAGGATCACATAGCTAAAATTCAGGTGCTATGTCCACTTCATCACCTTAAGGAATAGGTCTGTATTTCATGGTCATAATCCTATCTTACTTACCCCCAAAGGACTCCAAATTACATTGTTCTTCAGTACCAGAGCTGTTTCTGTTTTTAATTGAGTTTCCTTTATCACTGAGGTACATCCCTTCCCTTCATCCAATCTTGGACATCAATCTGGTTTGGAATCTGCACAAAGAAGCCACATCATAGTAGTTTTATATCCTTTAATACTACATCTGAAAAACTTATTCACAGTTAAAACTGTTAATGATCACCTGAATGGAAAAAGTGTGCACTGAAGTTACCTTGGAATCAAAAAATCTGATTGAGTGAGGCTCACTCATTTTACAGATAAATGAATTGAGGATTAGAGAGATTACAATCTTGTCCAAGACCACCCACTTAATTAATAATAAAACCAGAACTAGCACCCAGGTCTGTTGACTATTTTAGTGTCCTCCCCCTATATCACAGGATCTCTTGCATATGAAGAGATAAAATGGAGTCTTGGGAAGTTATAGACAAAATATCCTTTTACTCTTTAGTACACTGATTCCCAAATTATTTTAGATTTTTAAAAGTCTACTGTTTGTTCTCTTCAAACACCCCTTTATTCTACAAATGCCATGTGGCATGTAATATGCAATTACAAAGTAAATTAGTTTTTATTTTGAAGAATTTTTAGAGAATTAGGTGACACTCCTTGAAAGAGTTAAACCCTAGATTGTCACAAAACCAAGGCTAAGAACAGATGACAACATCCAATTCCACATTTCACAAGTTAGTCCCTCTCCACTTGTATAATCTACTATCACCTCATTTTTCTGAATCCAAACTCATCATCTCCCAGCAAATTGTTTCCCTCCCCAACAACCCCATTTCTGTCAGCATCATTCCAACTCTTCTTATCACCCCTTACCTTTGAGTTCTTTTCTTTGACTCCCATTGCCTTATCTTCAGTTGATTGTTTTTAATGACATAAGGAAATCCCTGGGCCATTTAAAACTGCTAGTAAAGAATATTTCTCCTGCCTTCATTTAGAGTTTTCAAGAATCTGCTACCTTCTGGTCTCATTCCCAGCAAGATGGTATGATCTTGGTGGCTTTTTTCCCCCTGGTGCTCCTAGAACTCTCTACAGTTTTGAGCATCTCAGTCAATATGAGGAAATGAAGGCCTACTTTTCTAGGTCTCTCCTGCAATATGTAGGAGATTTAGTCGTTTAAATAAGAAAGTATCTCAAAACTAATTCCTAATTTCTAGTACTTCAAATCCTTCAATATTCTAATATTTGTTTCAGGACTGATGTTCTAATTTTCTTGGACCTTTAGATACATATTCCATAAAGATATCCATTCAGCCTCTTGATGTACTTGATGACTTGGTTTTAATACTTTCCATCTCAGTTTGTCAGTATAGTTAAAACATCTGCACTTGTTCATTCTTCATAAGCTGCACTGGCTGTTTTTCAGTGGAATATATTCTCTCCATTGAGAAGCTGAAGGTAGATAGTGCCACTTTTTGGAAGTTACATGATGACCCTAATAGTAGCCTGGGTATAGCTGGTGAGTAAAGCTAACATATTTTGGGGTTACAAATTCCAAGTACTGATTCTGAGTTCTGAGATCCAAACTTCAAGTGATTCCCAATGAAATTTCTTCTGCTTACTAGGCTGCTCTGCCCACTGCTGTATTTTCCCAGCCAGTCACAGTTCTGCTGCATTTCTTACAATTCTCATTCTGTCTTAACTCCAACAAAACTCTAATGAACTGAACGGCTGGCACTGTTAGGATCAACTTCTGGCTTACTTAGGACACTATAGGGTTTCAACTTGTCATGCAATTTGAGGTGGGTATTAAGTGCAGATTTCTGAGTGAAGTCCTTGCCACACTCACAACAAGAGAATGGTCTCTCCCCATTGTGAATGCGCTGGTGGACCTTCATATCAGCCTTCAGACGAAAGCTCTTATCACACTCAGTGCACTGGAAGGGTCTCTCTCCTGTGTGTACAAGCTGATGGTTGAGTAGGTGGCCCTTCTGATGGAAGCTCTTGTCACACTCAGCACAATGGAAGGGCTTCTCACCAGTGTGTACTCGGAAATGTTCAGTGAGTTTATACTTTTGAACAAAGCCCTTACCACACTCACCACAGGAGAAGGGCCTCTCCCCACTGTGGAGGCGCTGGTGGACTTTCATGTAAGCCTTCCGACAGAAGCTCTTGTCACACTCAGGGCACTGGAAGGGTCTCTCACCAGTGTGTACAACCTGGTGTTTGAGGAGGTATTTCTTTAAACGGAAACTCTTGTCACATTTTGGGCACTGGAAGGGCTTTTCTCCAGTATGCATTCTCATGTGAGTGGTAAGTTTATACCTTTGAATAAAGCCCTTTCCACACTCATTGCAGGTGAATGGTCTCTCCTCACTGTGTTTGCGCTGATGGGCCTTCATGACAGACTTCAGGCGGAAGGTCTTGTCACACTCAGAACACCTGAATGGTTTCTCCCCACTGTGCACTCTGATATGAACTGTGAGTGCAGACTGCTTAGTAAAGCCTTTGCCGCAATCAGCACAGGTGAATGGCCTCTCCTTGCTGTGTAAGCGCTGGTGGGCCTTCATGACAGCTTTTAGGTGGAAGCTTTTTTTACACTCAGGGCACTGAAAGGGCTTCTCTCCTGTGTGTGTAAGCTGATGGGTGAGAAGGTCCCTCTTCTGGCAGAAACCCTTGTCACATTCTTGGCACTTAAAGAGCTTCTCCCCTATGAGATTTCTGATGTGGGTACTGAGTAAAGATGGTTTGGTAAAGCCCTTGCCAAGACCAGAGTCAGAAAATGGTCTTGCTCCACTATGCCTTCGATGGTGGGCTTTCATGACTGCCTTCAGGCGGAATTTCTTGTCACACTCAGGACACTGATAAGGCTTCTCACCACTATGTACTCTAATGTGTTCAGTGAGCTTATATTGCTGGGTGAAGCCCTTTCCACAATCACTGCAGGAGAATGGCCTCTCTCTACTGTGTAATCCTAGGTGGGCCTTCATGACAGCCTTCAGACGGAAGCTCTTTTTGCATTCAGGGCACTGGAAGGGCCTTTCACCCGTGTGCAGACGCTGGTGATTGAGCAACTGTCCTTTCTGTCGGAAGCTCTTGTCACAGTCAGGGCATTGGAATGGTCTCTCCCCAGTATGCAAACTTTGATGGTTGAGTAATTGTCCCTTCTGTCGGAAGCTCTTGTCACAATCAGGACACTGGAAAGGCCTCTCACCTGTGTGCACAAGCTGGTGGTTCCGCAAGTCTACTTGGCGCCTATAACTCTTTTCACACTCATTGCATTGAAAATGTTTTTCTCTTAATTGAATTCTTTGGGGTAGCTGGGGATCAGATGGCTTGTTGAATTGCTTTTTGAACTTTGGGTATTTGCATGGCTGCTCTTGGCAACAGCTCTTCTGATGGCTTACCAGGTGGTCATTCACCTGGAAACTTTTCCCACAGACAGGACAGGGGTAGACTCTCTGTTCTGGGGGAGTTTCCTGGACCTTAGGTGAATCCTGGCTTTTGTGGCATGGTTCTCCCTCACTCTGGATGGATGGTTTAGTCCTACAGATTTTTTCCTTTTGGGGGAAGTGTGTCCTGCATGTACTGGTTCTTCCACATGACTTCAGGTCTATGGCAAAACTCTGCCTTTTTATCTGACAAAGGTCTAGATGGCTCCTGGCTTTGAAGACCATGTAAATGACACTCTTCCTTGTCAATATTCACAACTTTTTGGTCCCCTGAAATGAAAAACACAGATCCTGTCCTTACTCACTTCTATGTTATAATTCCTTCCTTCAACTCCTGACTGTTACATCTATTGTACTCTGATATAACATATAGAAGACACATGATATCTCTATTCAAAAACTGTTTTACATTGTTTAAATGTTTAAAATATACCATGCCTTTAAAAGGGCCAAACTCTTTCAAAATAGAGCCATCTGTACTGAGCAGGGAAATCCTTATGGCCGAAAGCACAAATTGTATATTTTTAGAACCTAAATATATTATTTGAAGGAGATGGCACTCTCCTTTGATCAATTAAAAAAGAGACAAACATGAATATTCACTTTGTTGAGGATTATAATAATGATATATAGTATATGTAATATTTCTCTTCAAAGCACCATCTTTCCCTGTCATGCTTGGCAGAGGCTACAATGGAGACAAATTAGTTAAATTATTTTGGGGAATTATTATAGCACCTAAAGAAAAGAAAGGGTAAGACTGTAGATAGCTGATACTTTCAGGGAAGCTACAGGTATTACAAGAGCCCAATGAACTATGTATAAATCCAGGGATTTCAGAACAGAGTCAAGTTATTCTGGCAAGGAGCTACAGGGAACAGCGAGGTCATGTCTTTCATTGCTAACAGGGATACCAATAAAAAAACCAAAAAAGTGTCACTAAAGCATTTTTAAAAATGCACAGAAAACAACAAAAGGGAAGTTCAAGGGGAAATGGAAATGGTCAGAATGATCTGAGTTATGTGAGAAATGCTCCTTCCTTCTTCAAGGACATGTGATTTCATCAGTGTGGGTACCCCCCCTCCAACTAATGCAGATTATAACTCCTACCTTCAACAATCCTGGGCCACAATCATGGAGCAGAGCCTCAGTGGAGAAAAACCACTAAGAACAACTAAGAACTGAATCTATGTTTAGAGCAAGAAGAATGAAGAATAAGACCACTTCTTAAGACAGACAGAATAAAGTTAACAGACAACAGAAAGAAAGCTAAGTTATTTAATTCCTACTGTGTACATCTTTTCCATCAAAGAGACAACAAAAGCCACTGAAGGGATTCTGGCAGTGGAATGACAGTTAGATGAGTGAGTGTATCAAGAAAATTAACTGGTCAGCAAAGGGAAAGATGGAATGGCTGGAGGCAAGGAGACTGATTAGTAAACTATTGCAGGAATTCAAATGAGAAGGGATGAGGGCCTTCTTAAGATATGTCAATGGAAATATAAAGGAATGGATTTGAGGGAAGAGATAATGGGAAGAATAAAAATCCATGGTTCCAGCATGGACAACTGAGAATTAACCAAAATGAAGCACACTGTGTGCATGGGGGGGGGGGAGAGGATGCGTTCACCTTTATGTATACTGAGTGCTGGCAGAAAATCTGGGTCAAGAAATTGAGCAAGCAGTTGGAAACATGGGTCTAACTAACAAGAAAGGCCACAGATGTGACAGATGAAAAGAGAAACAGTGGTAATCATGAAGCAGGTAGGAATAATTCATTAGCTAGCATTCCTCTTCCTGTGAAAACAGGGAGACCCAACATTAAGCAAATTCTTATGCCAGTCATCTGACAAAAACCAAAAGCTGTTTCCAGACAAGACCAAACTAATTTTTTGTGTAAGAGTCATGCTTAAGCACTTCTTATATACAGACGCCTAAGGAAGAAGCAGGAATGCTTACACCAGTGTCTGAGAACAGAAAAGGCTTAGAACAAAAATTGTGGGAAATGGGATAAGTTGATGAAAAACGAATGGCTGAGAATTTGCAAAGCTCCATATGAGATATAAATTTATAATGGATACAATCATTTTGGTTTCATGACTTTCTTCAATAGTAGTTAGCTACTCAAAATTGGACTTAGAGAAAGCAGATATCTAGAGAGTAAGAAGGCAGAAATAATAGTAGGCGAAAGAGGCCAAGGATTGTAGGCTTTGTGGAAGGCACATCAATGGGTAAAATATGTCCCCTTTTATATTTCAACTAAGGTCAGGATTCATCCACAAGGCTCTGAATAGTTGGTTTCAGCCTATTTTTTTCCTAGCACAGTGACTTATGCCCTCAGTGGGACTATTTTAATATTATTTCCTTCCCCCACATGTACAAAATATTCATAGCAGCTCTTTTTGTGGTGGCAAAGAATTGGAAATTGAGAGGATGCCCATCAATTGGGGAATGGCTGAGCAAGATGTGGTATATGAATGTAATGGAATACTACTGTGCTATAAGAAATGATGAACAGGCTGACTTCAGAAAAACCTGGAAAGATTTGTATGGTCTGATGCTGAGTGAAGTGAGCAGAACCAAGAGAACATTGTACACAATGACAGCCACGTTGTGCGATGACTAATATTGATAAACTTACCCCTTCCCAGCAATACAAGGATCTAAGACATCTCCAAAAGTCTCATGATGGAAAATGCTATCCATATCCAGAGAAAGAACTATGGAAGTTGAATTGCTATTTTTTTTCTCTTCTGTTGAGTTTTGTTTCTTCTTTCTTGTGGTTCCTCCTATTGGTTTTAATTTTTACTTACAACATTACTAATGTGAAAATATGTTTAACAGGAATGTAAATGTATAGCCTATATCAGACTGTGCGCCATCTTCGGGAGGGTGGTGGAGAGGAAGGGGGAGAAAAATTTTAAACTCAAAAGAATATGGAAGTGATTATTGATAAATCAAAATAAATTAATAAAATTTAAAAAAATTTTTTTAAAGTAGAATATTAAAAAAAATATTATTTCCTTCCTATATATAAGACCAAACCAAATTAGATAATCTTATCAATCTGGACTCACAGAGTATATAGGACTCTTCTCTTGACCCCGACTCCCTCCATAATATTCCCTGTCCTCTCTGTGTCTTTGTCTAGCATCCTACTTCAGTAGGTCAATAAAACACTTTACCTATCAGCAAATGGAAAAACCCTAAGGCAGGCCAGGGCAACAATGGAATGTCAGTCACCAAATTTTGAATATATCAGGATTTTCTTATACCCAGTTAGCAGATTACTTCTGCTAATCTAGTTTCCCCCCAAAATAAAGCTTAGTTCAAACACCACAGAAAAGATCCAAGGAATAGTGTAGAAAAAACTTCACTATTTCAAAGCCACAATTTCTCACTCACCCCGTAACAGATGTGTAGAAGCACTCTTCAAGTCATGTTGTTTATCAGGACCATATCTAATGGCCATTTCTCTTTTCATTAAGTTCCCATGATCTCTAATGAATGGTTCTTCACCTCGCTCAATGTGAGATATCAAATCTGGTTTGGGAATGGCAGAGTCTGTACAGAGATCACAAAGAGTTACTTAAATTTCTTCAAACGAGAAATCTGAGTACACTGACAATGACTGCTAAGGTTCTCTTGACTCATTAAAGATGGTAAGAAAAAATTAAGACACTGGCGAATAAAGAAAAAAGTGGATCACATTCAAGAAGCGATCACTAAATATTCTGGTTTTGAGACATCCACTGATTTCCAAGTCAAATGCAAAATACATATTTATGTATTTAAGTCAGTTAAATTTTGGTTCAAGAATGCTTTGAGAGTTATGTGACAATCCATGAATTGACTGATGACATCACTACCTATCACAAGGTCAAATCTGATTTTAAAGCAACTGGTCCTGATTTAAAAGTTCTCTTCAATGCTCTATATAATATTTTTCATCACCATCCAGCCCAGGGGCTGAATAGTGAGGCTGAGATCTGAGTAACTGCTCTATATAACCTGAGTAACCACCTATATAAATGGGTGGTCACCCATGTACAATATAAACCTCTGTTTAATTTTCAAAGACCTACACAATCTAGCCCCAGTCAATCTTTCCAGCCTCATGGGACATCATTCCCTGTCCTGAACTCTCTAATTTGGCCAAATTGGTCTTCTCTCTGTTCCACACACACTACACTCATATCTCCTTTACTTCACACTCACTATCCAACATGCTGGTAATGCACTCTCTCCTTACTTCCACCTTTACAAAGTCTCTGTCTTTAAGATAAAGCTCAAATATCATGTTCTGCATGAAGCCTTTCCTGATCTATTTCTGCCCCCAACTATTGGTTCCCTCCTTCCCAACTCATTTCCTGCCACTCACAGGGCAAGTAAGTCAGTCTAGGTGAAGCAGCAAGACACCTGGAAGAAGAGACAGGATGTAGCATGTTTCAGGCAAGTCAAATCATCACCACTATCTGAACCACCACCTCCCCTCAGTCCCTGATGGAGACAACCCAGGACCCTGAACCTAAGAGCCTCTGGGATAGCAATGTTTCGAGCTCAGAGCCCACAGTCAACATGCTGACTCCTGTGGAGATGCAGCCTGGCAACTGCTCCTGCAGGGGCTACTGCCCCGTCTACTAAAGACCTAGAAAACAAAGTTCTTGTCATCAAAGTTTTTGGTACTGTTAAATGGTTCAGCATCTGACACTGATATGAATTTATCAAAGGAGATGACGTTAAAGAAGAAGAATTACTATCTGTTTTGCTGCTGCACCCTAAGGACCATGGAACATTTTCATCTGCCTTGCAAATGAAACCCTCCATGGGTATTATCTCCCCCATGACAACGTGAGTTCCTTATGCCCAAAGGGCTATAAAACTGTGCATACCCTTTGACCCAGCAAAACCACTTCTAGGTCTGCATCCTAAAGAGATCATAAAAATGGGAAAAGGACCCACATGTACAAAAATATTTATAGCAGCTCTTTTTGTGGTGGCAAAGAATTAGAGTTTGAGGGGATGCCCATCAATTAGGGAATGACTGAACAAGTTGTGATATATGAATGTAATGGAATATTATTGTTCCATAAGAAATGATGAGCAGGTAAACTTCAGAAAGACCTGGAAAGACTTATATAAACTGATGCTGAGTAAAGTGAGCAGAACCAGAACACTGTACACAATAACAGCCACACTGTGCGATGACTAACTTTGATAGATTTAGCTCTTCTCAGCAATGCAATGATCTAAGACAACTCCAAAAGACTCATGATGGAAAATGCTACCCACGTCCAGAAAAAGAACTGTGGACTCTGAATGCAAATTGAAGCATACTATTTGCTCTCTTTTTTTTTTGTTTGTTTCTTCTTTCTTGTGGTTTTTCCTATTGGTTCTATTTCTTCTTTACAACATGACTAATATGAAAATATGTTTAATAGGAACATATATGTATAGCCTATATCAGATTACCCTCTGTCTTGGGTGGGGGGGGAGGAGGAACAAAAGGGGAAGAAAATTTAGAACTCAAAATCTTATGGAAGTGAATGTTGAAAACTAAAAATAAATAAAATTTTTTTTAAAAAGTGAGTTCCTTGGGAGCAGGGACTGTCTTTTCTATTCATACCTCTGGAGCTTGGCACAGTGCTTTGCACATATCAAATGCTTAATAAACGCTTCATTCATTCTCAAATTATCTTATATTTAACTACTATATATATTTGTATTTATTCACTTTATGTTTATGCTACATATTTTTACATGTATTTGTTATGTCCTCCATTAGAACATAAGCATCTTGAGTGTAGAGATTATTTCATTCTGTGTATTTCCATTCCTAGCACACAGCACAGTGCCTGGCACATAGTTTTAGATTAACTGAGGTCAAGAGTTGAGAAAAAGGCCCAGGTTACAGCTTAAGTATCATGTACCAGAGGTACTAGACAGGATGCTGAGGAGCAGAAAGTACTAACAGTTCATGTAATCTTGTAAATCCACCATAATTCTGGCTCCTACTCTCACTATTCTACTGAAAATGTTCTAATTTAAGGTCACTAGTCAACACATTAAATCTATTGGCCATTAATTCATTAGATCAAATTCCTCGTCTAGATCATTCAAGTCCCTCTGCAAAACTGTTCCCAACCTATTCGTGTAATCTTATTCGCCAATACTACCCAAAGAAAACCCTGTGCTCCAAGAAAGTCTCTTTGGTGTCCTTTGCAGCCTCTACTTTTGCTCATGCCTTGAGGCTTTTCAATCAATTTTCATTTGGATAACGACAGCAATTATTAAACACAGAGATGAAATATTCAACTATTTTTTCAATGCCTTTCCAAATGGCATCATTTCCTCCAAAGCCCTCCTCCAGATCTACTTCTTCCATGAAGCAATTCCTATTCCAGACTGTGTTAAGGTCTCTTCTTTGAACTCTTAGAATGCTTAGTCCCTATTTCAAAACGTGTCACTTCTATGATATACCCCAAAATAAGATTCTACTAGACTCACAGGCTCTTAAAGATAACCTAATTCATTTCCTTCCCCCTACGTCCTCATGGTGCATATGGAAAGAAAGGTTCAGTCCATGGAATTGGCTTGGTCAGATCACAGAGTGAACTAATGGCAGAACCAGGAGATCTTCTGAGTCTCAGTCCAGCATCATTCCATAGAATCACTCTATCTCCCTCACCATGATGGCTTCATGTAAATGTCTTGTCCCCTCAACAAAATGGTAAACTGACAGACGAGACTGTATTTTATATCTATGTTATGTCTCCTATGATGTCTAGCATGATGATTTATCATTTAAATATCGAATGATTTGCCTCATTTACCATGACTTAGACATGATGAGAAAGAGGCTAACTTAGGAAATGTAGTGAAGGGATTCATGAAATAACTGGGCAACAGTAGTGTTATTTTTCAGCATCCTTCACTCAACCATGAAAAGCCTCATTCTGTCTACAGATGTCAATAGGAAAAAAAATAGACTTTATATCTCCAAAGTGAATTACTGCATCTTCTTCCCTGTCAGACTATGACAATCACTGACTTTCAATAAGACTTTTTCCAGAATTCATAGTTCCCTGAGCCTAATTCTACATCACCCTTTGTAGAACCATCACTTTCAGAGCTACTCTCTATTGTTATTTACAACAGTAATTATACTGATTCAAAATCCATTGTAACTCCCACTCATTAGTGTTATTTCTATCTTTTGAAGCAACACAAAATAAGTCTACTATCTCTTGAACATACTAGACCTTTAAATACGTGAAAAGTCATTGTATCTACAATAAATCTTTTCCCCCCTCAATATAAAAAAGCTTTAGTTATTTTAACCTTTCCTTATGAGATGATTTTCAATCCTTTCACTAACTTCATCATCACCCTCTAGACTCTGATTAGCCTGGTAAATGTCTCTCTTAAAATGGTCCTAGCACTGAGCAGAATTCCCTAGGTGTGGTTTGACCAATAAAGAGCACAGTGAAACTACTGTCACTCTGCATTAGACAGGCAATTAGAACATGCATTATAACTAAAGCTACTTAAGATTGGGTTTATAAACAACTAACTGTTCCTGTGTAGTAAGATTTTTTAAAAAAAATTTATTTCAAATAGGAAAAAAAATCTATTTTATCTTCAACACTGCCTCTTCCCATCACTGAAAAAAAGAAAAGGAAAACCTTTGTAACGAATATGCAAAACAAATACAAATTCCCTCATCACAAAAAATTATGTCTGATTTGTAGCATGCTTTATTATTGGTGCTCTGAAATCATAGTTGGTCATTGCACTGATCAGAGTTCTGAAGTCTTTTCAAGGTTGTTTTTCTTCTCATTGTTACTGTTGTCCTGGTTCTGCTCACTTAAGAGTACGTTATTACATTCACATGCCATAATTTGTTCAGTCATCCTTCAATCACAGCAAGATTTTTTTCACATGAATGACTGTTAAATTAATGCTCTCTCTCATCCTGGATTTAAGCAATTTTTTTAACCTAAATGCTGGGCTTTTTTATTTATCCCTGTTAAATTTCATCCTGCTTATTTCAGATAATCATGCAAGTTGATAATAAATTTAAAATCCTGATTTTGTCATCCACCACATTAGCTCTCCCAACTACTTTTGTTTCACTGTACATTTGATGTTCAATATCTTTATCTAAGTTGTTTATAACAACCTGTTGAACAGGACAGGGCTAAGGAAGAGGCAGCATGGCAAAGCACTGGATAAAAAGCTCAGTTCAAGTCCTACCTCTAATACTTACTGGCTTTTTGACCCTGGGCAAATCACTTACCTTCTCAGTACCCCAAGGCAACTCTCTAAGATTATAGGTTGCAGATTAGTTGCTGATCTGCACTGGTAGACGGAGTTTCTTCATTGGAAACTCCCTATATCCATGAAATCATAGGTCTGGACAAATAAAGAAAGAGGGCTAAGAACAAAGTCCTGTGGCACACTGCAAGGAATAAAATGTTCCTATAGGCGGACATCAACTCATTAATGAAGCAGTCTTTAGATGTAGTTAACTAGCTAAAAATCCATATGACCACAGTTTAATCTAGCATACATTTTTTTATCTCCTACACAAAGACACCAGAAATTTTGATAAATGCCTTGCTGAAATCAAGACATGCCATTCGAAGCAGCATTTCTGTAGTGGAATGAGCACTAAAGCTAGAATAAGGAGAGATCTGCGTATGAATCTCAATTCTAACCCTAATCGTGTGACCCTGAGCAAGTTGCCTACCTTCCCTAAGTCTCCATTTCCTCACTTGTAAAATGAGGGCAGTATTACCTATAGTACTTACCTAATAGCATGTGGTGAGTCTCAAGTGAGAGAATGTAAAGTGCTTTGTTTTTACAAAGGGTTATATCATGGTCAGGTACTATTCTATGTCTATAATGTATCACATTATATTATTATATCTATGGAGTCTCCTTATTTACCAGTCTCATAGCTGTATCAAAAAAGAGAGCTAAAAGGCTCAATGTCACCTTCTGATTCCATTCCTTTCACATATTCCTTCTTGAGTTTGCTGCTTAATCAATGGAAGGGTAAGTATTATTATTACTATAACAACAATGCTAGTTTTTCCATTGCTTGAGCAAATCCAAGAAACATTAAGTGCAAAGCTCTGTTAGTCACCGAAAACACTGCAGGCATTCCCACAAAGCATTAACAAGTAGGTTTGTAGAAACCCAGATATGGTCTGGGTTTCTGGGAAGTTGTGAGACTGAAGGATTGGATGTTCTCATGAAATCACTGCTAACTTCTAATTCCCTAAGAGACATTCACAAAGTTCCTAATGAATATATCTTACCCAGGGAGAACAGGATTTCATAATTGACAGTCATCACATGCTTGTAAAGCTCCTTCTGCCACTTGTCCAGGTTCTTCCATTCCGGTTCTGAGAAATACACAGCCACATCCTCAAACTTTATAGGCACCTGGAAGCCAAGTAAGTTTTTGCTTCAATGACATCCCAGACACATTATCTCCTAGCTCATTTTAAAAAGACAATTTAATTCCATTCCTTCAAACAGGATAATGAGAACTTGTTCTCACAAAAGGATCTCTATTTTGAAGGTGATTTCGTGCCTTTCAGCCCTACAAGAAGAGATCTGTGAATGCATTTTCCAAGACAGCTGACCCTCCTTCCCATATACCACAAAAATTTTAGTGTTGGTAATCACAGTAAGTAGAAGGGATTTAACTCTTTTATAAGACCAGGAAGGCCTTGCAGCTATAGGCTGCTTGTATTCTATCTATCCAGTTTTTAGTGACCAGAAGCATCATCAACTTTTCTAAATTCTGAAACATTAAGTGCAACACATAAATTTTGGTTTTGTGAGATTAAATGTCTTTCTTCCATCTTTCTACATCTCACCTGCAAGTTTCTGTGTCACACCTATGCCTGAAGAGGTGTCCACAACTGGCTCTAATCTATTTCAGTAAGACAGAAAGCCAGTGAAAAATGGATAATTGGCATCCAATAAAATGGTGCAAAAACCTGGTAGAAATGGAAGATCTTTACTATGGAACCTATTCCAACTGCAAAAGGGGAAAACCCTCTTGTTACAGAGTGAGAAGTCCAGTCATCAGGCATTTATTAAATGACTATCATTTGCCAAGGGAAGAATAACACAACAGGGGAAAGGAAATCTAAACAGGCTCCTAGTCATATTTCAGAATAGGGGCAAGAAGTCTTATCCCAGAAAGGAAAATCTCTAGGTCCTTAGTCCTCTGTCACATTGTAGGAGAATGGAAAGAAAGCAATAAATAAATAATATTTTTAAAGTGGAGCACAACACAAAAAGTTTGCAAATTTAAATGTAACCTCAAGAGGCATGGCTGGAGTTGCTTTCCTACCTTAAATCTCAAGGTCCCAGTGGCCAGTCATATTCATTATATAAAGGCAGTATTTACATTAAAATACCTACTTCAATAGGTTAGAGAAGCAGCACAGCATAATGGATAGGCAGTTCATCTCAAGATTAAGAAGACTTTGAGTTCAAGAACCGATTCTTGTCATTTCTGGGCCATTTATTTAACCTCTCAATGCTTCAGGTAACTTAAAACTATAAACTGCAGAGAGTGTGCTACTCTTTACTGGCAAAAAGAATTTCTTCATCTAGAAGTTCCCTAAACTAATTAAATCATATGTCCAGTCTCTAGTACTTATCCCTATTCTTCAACAGTCTTTTTTTTTAGTCTTTTGCAGACTAAAACTCTCCTATACAGATGGTCTTACAAAATTGCTTTGGCCAAAAAATGGCCTCAGAGGCCATCGAGTCCAACTCTCTCATTTTACAGAGAAGGAAACTGAGGCCCAGGAAACTTGAAGTGATTTCACCCAGGTCAGAGAGATAGTGGTGGGGGCAGGATTTGGACTTAGATTCTCTGGCTCCGGAGCCAGTGATCTTTCTCAATTTAGGTAAGCTGGTCCTCACACAAGAGACATACAACAATCTATCACCTGGCAATACTCAAAGTTTCTAGCTTTGCAGAATCTGCCGCTGTCACAGCCTTTGAGAACCCAGGGTCACCTCCATGCTGCATGAGGCAATGTTAGAGGAGGCCTTAGTTGGAGAACGTTTCCCATATATAGGAATCTCACGGGCTATACTGTCTTTTGCTTTTATTCTCTACACGGAGAGGATGTTAAAACGGCCTCCACCAGGTACGTTTGAAGCCTCAGGGAAATGCCAGGTCGCAACGGTGGGTTCTCTAAAGCACAACAGAGAGGTTCCCCAAAGGCTCCAGAACATACACATAACACAATGGCCTTTTTTTTTTTCTGTCCCAAATACCAAGATTTTGCCACAGGCATCCTAGGGTTACGGACCTCCCTGTTTTTTTCTCAGCCCCTCCCCCAGATGCCCGACGGTCCGCTCCCGAGCCTCCCCGGGGTCACCGCAGGCCCCGTATCCCTCCGTGGCCGCGGGGAAATGGCTCACCCGCACAGGAGCCGCCTCGGCCATTTCCCTGCGTCTCCTGGCCAGTGGCCGGGAGAGCTCCACAAGCGATGCCGGAAGGCCGGCTGCGAGCTCCGGGGAGCCGGGGACGTGAGCGCCGGGGCCAGGCGGCAGGGCAGAGGCGGACCCTCTCCAAATTCCCGCTTCACCCATTCTTGTTCTCCTCACGCGGCGGCGGTTGCCACGGACACGCGGAGCATCCTAGGACTCCTGCTTCCTCCTCTCCTCCCCCCTTGCTCCGGGAACCAGCCACTTCCGGCGGGCTCCGAGCAGACAGCGCCCCCCTGCGGGCGGGAGGAGCAAAGGGGCTTCCAGCCCGGCCCGTAAATGCCCATTCCAGCACCCAGGGCATCCATCTCCCCAAGGCTGGGGCATCCTCCTAGGCCAGGCCTCTCCGGATCCCTGGTAGTGTGTGCACCGTACCCTCCGTACCCTCGGATGATCCTGCAGAATGCAGCACACACCCTTTGTACTACCACTGCACTTGGCGTTTGTTGGTTGAATCTAATTGAATGGTTCATCTCTAATCGTGACCATTTTTTCTTACAAGGGGCTAAAACCTGCCTATGTGACTATGAGCAAGTCACTTAACCTCAACTTCCTCACTATAAAATGGGGGTTTGGACAGGCTGGCCTCTAAAGTCCATTCCAACTCTCAATCTACCATCCTTGGCTCTCTGAAGCTCTATTTTTTGGAGCCGAGCAGCACCAATCTAACCTTGATTCCACATGTCCACTCTTCAAACAGTCGAGTTTTTTTGTCTCCTCTAAGGCATGCCATCTGCAGGCTAACATCTCCAGTTTCCTTAACTCATCCTTGAATATCATATTGTGTTGTCCTTACCATCCTGGCTGCCCTCCCTTGGACATTCTGTAGCTTGTCGATATCTGTTATTGTGCCTGGCATATAGTGGGCATTCAATAAATGTTTATTGACTATTGCCTACTTTAGACTCTTGGTTATAGTTCTCCCTCATTATAGTCACCATAGGGCTACTTCACAACCAATTTATGTTCTCTAACTGATCTTAAAACTACATATGCAACTCCAAGGACTTCTGTACTACAGAGAGAACTGGACCCTCTCAAATGTGATTCCATTCTAGGAGGCTGCCTCCTGTGAAAAGCAATGTATATGAGGTACCACATCACACCTATTAGATTGGGCTTGAATTAGGGTGGTGGCTGTGAGTGAAGAGAAGTAGATGTATAGAACACTGAATTTGTACAGATGTGAAGATTGTAGAAAAGACAACATCTGACAGAGATTGGATGTGTTTAGTGGAACTGAGAGTCCCACCTATGATACATATTACAGAGATTTGTTTTTTCTAATTTCCAGGAATTCTTGGTTAATCAATCAACAATTATTTATTAAATACCTACTATATGCCAGGCACTGTGTTTTTTTTAATTTTTTTTAAAAAATTCAAAAATGAAGCAGTCCTCAAGGGGTTTACTCCTTACTATTGTAAGAAGGGGATCTGAAGGGTTTATCTTTTTTTTTTGTGAGGCAATTGGGGTTAAGTGATTTGCCCAAGGTCACACAGCTAGCTTACCTTTTTTAAAAAAATCTTTTTAAAAATTTTTTTTTCCCATATGCTTTTGAGTTGAAAATTTTTTCTCCTTTTTTCTCCCCCCCCACCCTCCCCAAGATGGCGCACAATCTGACATAGGCTTTACATTTACATACCCATTAAACATATTTTCACATTAGTGAAGTTGTAAGTAAATATTAAAACCAATAGGAGGAACCATCAGAAAGATGAAACAAAATTCAACTTAAGGTAAAAATAAGTGAGAGCGATTCGACTTCCATAGTTCTTTCTTTGGATGTGGACAGCATTTTCCATCCCGAGGCCTCTGGAGATGTCTTAGATCCTTGTAATGCTGAGAAGGGTTCAGTTTAACTTTCTTAGTCATTGCATAACGTGGCTGCTATTGTATACAAAGTCCTCTGGGTTCTGCTCACTTCACTCAGCATCAGACTATATAAGTCTTCCCAGGTTTTTCTGAAGTCAGCCTGTTCATCATTTCTTATAGAACAATAGTATTCCATTACATTCATATACCACAACTTGCTCATCCATTCCCCAATTGATGGGCATCCTCTCAATTTCCAATTCTTTGCCACCACAAAAAGATCTGCTATGAATATCTGTGTACATGTGGGTCCTTTTCCCATTTGTTTGATCTCTTTGGGGTTTTTTTTAAATCTAAAGATAACTTTTCCCTTTTATTCTACTTATGGATACTGACCTAGACAGGTCACAAGTATTCTAATGTTAAAGAGAAAAGGTCCTCAACTTAGCAATATAGTTCCTGTCAAGTAATCAACAAACATTTATTAAGCACTTACTGACACCACTTTAAGCAGTGAAGATACAAAGACAGATAAAAATAGTTTCTGCCCTCAAGGTGCTTACATGCTAATGATAGAGCTATGTAAATAATTAGGTTCATTTGGTACAATATACAAAGTAGTTGGTAGGTACCCTTAGAGGGGAAGGGCTAGAAGCTGAATGACTGGTGGCCGTGGGGGGTGGGGTGCAGGAAAGGCGTCCTGCAGAAGGCGGTATTTGTGTAGTCTTGAAAGAAGTCGGGGATTCAAAGAGGTTGAGGTGTGGAGTGAGAGAATTCCAGGCATGTATACGTTCTCTGGCAAGCAATGACAATTCCTTTTCATTCACGGAAGGAGCCTGACACTTAAAATTACAAAAGTCCTAAACAGCAAACAAATTCTTATACATGTTATTGACAGGAATATAAAACTATAGAGACCAGAATCATGGATCATTAATTAGTTAAATGAAAGATCAACATTAGCAACAAATTAGAAGAAAGGATAAGGATCAAAAGATACTTCATGCAGCTAAAAGATTTGCAACCTACACTACTTAAATAAGTGTTGCATCTTAGAGCAGCTAGAAAGTAACACCAGATACCAGATAAATCCTGGGGAAATGGGGATGCCAAAAAGCTCAGGAGTCAAGAGCCTTTTCTAAAAATGTTTTTCTTCTTAATGTGTTTATTTCGTTAAATATTTCCCAATTGCATGCAAAATTTTTAACATTCATTTTTAAAATTTTGAGTTCCAAATTTTCTCAGTCACTGCAGACCCTCCCCCCTCCTTGAGAAGGTAAGCGATTTGATAGGGGTTATACGTATGAAGTCGTGCTGTCCAGAGCCTTTTGATTTTGAAATGATGACAGCATAAAAGTCAAGTCCGAGGACCTCCTTTCTCTTGGTGACAAGCACCAAGAGCTCTAGGCGTCGCAGCTTGACCAAGTGATACCTAAGCATCACCACTGCCTCCACATGTCGCGAGGTCAGACCTGGTGCCAAGGAAGGCGGAGCTAGGAGCAACTCACACTTGGGGACTGGGAGTGACCTGCAAGCTCAGAACCTTCGGAGACCCCAAGTCAGAACACTGAGACTCCCTAGGTCACCCCAAGACCCCGAGTCCTTCCCTCTGTATGCGCGGGGGAGGTGGGGTCTCTCACTCGAGCAGGAGCAGAAGCCGTCTAGGCTACTGCCCTCTGTCTCCTTCCTAGGGCCGGGGGAAGCCGCCGCTTCTCCCCCTCCTCCTTCTCCTCCCGGCCCCTGCTACGCTACTCAGTCTAAGTCAGCGGAGTCCCAGCGGGTGGCAGCGGCACAAAAGAAACGACTGGTGACACGCCCCCTCTGCTCCCGCCTCTACCAAGGCTCGGCTGGGCGCAGCCGCAGCTCCTCCCTCCGTACCACCTCTGGCCGCAGCTGTCCGTTGCCAGGGATACAAGCGGGGTATCCTGGGAATCCGCTTCTCTCGCTCTCGCAACTCTTCATCCTCTCCCTACCCCACCCCCGCCCCGGGAAAGGCTCTTGTCCCGCAGCGCTTCCTGCGGCCGGAGGAGTAAAGGGGTGACTGAGGCCGCGCCTAAGGCCCCTGCTGCGGTAGGGAATTAGACCAAAGTAGATTCATGTCCAGGGGCAAGAAACATGGAGGAAGACTGATTCAGGGGCGAGGATGGGCCAGGCTTGTGAAAGAACCAGGAGCAAACCTGCCAGAAGTGCAGGGAAAGTGAAAGGGCACATGGGAAGAATAGGTGGGGGCCAATGACAAAGAGTTTAGACTTTATCCCTCAGGGGCTGGAGAGCCATTAAAGGTTTTTAGGTCAAAGGGTGATGCAGGCCAAATAATAGTTTGAGATTATTCTGGCAGCCGTGACAGGGATGGGGGAGGGTTTTGGTGAGGGAGAACTGAAAACAGACCTTCATTTATAGAACCCATTTGGGGTCTTCTAGGCAAAGATATTGGTTTGCCATTTTCAGATGAGGAAACTGAGGCAAACAGGGTTAGGTGATTTACTGAGGGGTCATAGAGCTAGAAAGTGTCTGAGATCAGATTTGAACTCAGGAACCTGAGTCTTCCAGATTCCAGGCTCCTCTCTCTATACACTTGCACCACCTGGATGCCAGAACACCCAGTTAGAAGAAATTAAATGGAGATGGTGTGCTGAGACAGAAGCTGGTTGAGGGTAATGGCAGCACAGGTGCAAACAGACAGATGCCAGAGACAATATTAAGGAAGAATTATGGAATGGTTGGATGCTTACAGAAGGAGGCAGAGGAAGTTAAGGATGGCTGCAAGATGCAAGATGCACCTAGGTGACCAGGATAATGATGATATCTATAACTGACTGAAATGAATGAGACTAGAGGAAGAAAAGTTTTGAGGGGAAAAGGATAAGTTCAAGTTCTTTGGCTCTTTCTATAACCTTTCTCCATAATCTATGTTCTTTTCTAATCCCCTATTTCTGTTTGATTTTCTCTGAATTCCCTATACCATACTTGAGAACAGGTTGTATTCTTTTGTACTTTAACTGCCTAGTACACTTCTTTGTACATGGTTAAAAGGACTCATAGAGTCATGATATGTTAGAATTGGAGTGAATTTTGGAGTTCTTTTAATCTAATTACTCTTTTAAGTCTTATAATCCAGTTTCCTACTCAGAAATCACTTCAGCAACATCAGAGGCCATCTACCCTCAACACTTTCAGTGAGTGGAAAATTACTATTTCACAAGGCAGTACAATCCATTTTTGAACAACACTGTTAGTTTTTCCTTATATCAAGCTGAAATCCCTTGTAACACCTACCATTAATTCTACCCAGTCTTCTACACTAATCCTCTAAAGCTAAACAAAATGTCAAGCCTTTCCTTATGAGAGTCCTTAAACTAT